GTGTTTTTTTTTTTCGGATTTCTTTTTGTTTTTCAATGGACACGTGTATCGGATACGCGTGTCCTTTTGAAATTAAATAGTATTTTAATTGGATGCGTCTTTGGCGTATCCGACACGTATCGGTGGAGTATCAGAGGCGTATCCATGTATCGGATACAGCACGCCTTCATAAATAGGTGTATCGGTGCAACATAGTAGACGATCAAATTAAATTGAACATAAAAAATAAAATCTGATTAGACGGGGAGAAGAAAGCTTATCAAACATCAAAGGCCCAGAAATGGCACCGGTGGTCGGCCGAGGGGCCAAACCTTAAGATCACCTAGGGTTTCGCTAGAGGGGCGGGGATGCATTGATTAATTGATGTTTTCATTTTCCTAGTTGCTAATGATGCGTTGCCAGCACATTTGGAATTTAAATCAAAGGATATTGGTGCGGATCAACGTGGTTGGTTAGCTAATTGTGATTCATCATCTAATTGGGATTTTGGGGAATAAACTGATGTGAGCAGGGATGATTGAATATATGGTTTAAATGTTATTCGAAACGTTGAGGAAAGTTTTTAAAAGAATGTTGGTAAACGTAGAAGTAGAAGGAGAAAATCAATTAATCAATACTAAAATGAATAAATGGGCTTTAGGGTTGTAAATGATCCTAACACGAGTGAACTCATTGTTTGTTTATGCTTGGCTCATTCTAAAATTTATTCGTTCAAGTTTAGCTCATGTTCGAAATTATTTGTGAATATCATGTTTCAATTAATTTGTTTAGCACAAACTCCACTTAATTGTGGTTAATGTCCATTAATGATGCTTGCGTACTGCAAATTTTGACGTGATTTTAGAGCTTTGTGAAAAAACAAGAATATTAAGTGGCAGACAACTATGTCTTTCTGGATGTGACATCCTTTGAACTTTAATGTCAGCAATTCATTAGAAGACAGGGAAGCTTTCCAGCAAAAGCAGAAAAATATTCAATAAAGCTTCAGTTAACCGTATGAATCAACGACAAGGAGGATTTGAGAAGAAAGGCCATCCTTCTAAGCAGAGACAATGAAAGCATAGCAGCAGAAAGGCCATCCTAATTCACTGTCTCTGCTTATGGTTGTTTCATTGTCTCTTGGCATATTTAGAAAAGCATAGCTGAAGAAAGGCCATCCTGGAGAACCCCTAGGGTCATATGACTCATCATAGCCCTCTCAAAAAATCAATCCATGAAAAAGGAAGCAGCCATCAAATTGAAAAAGAGGCACAAGCAACCAAAAGCCATCTCAGAAGAACGTCAACCGTATGAAGCAACCACTATGAGGATGAACCAAACCCAGCCACCAGAGATAAACATAGCGGAAAAACTCACAATTACAAAAGAAGCCATCAACATTTATCAGAAACCACCATTGGAAACTAATAGACAACAGAAGTTGTGTTGGTAGAATTGTACATAAGAGGATAACAAACTCACAATCTCCCCATTCTTGCAGCCATATGACAACGCATTATGCTTAAAATAGAAGTAAAAGAGATGAGATGGCCATATTTCCTTTCATTCAGTTCCCTCCATATATAACATACAAAAAACATATAGAGAAGAGAAAAAATATGTCATTCAGTTCACCGGAAGGCGTTTATATGACCAAACCATCTAAGACGACTCACTCTAATCTTATCTTTCACTGGAGCTACTCCAACCTTTCATGTATATGCTCATTTCGTATCATGTCTAGACGAGTAAAGCCACTCATCCACCGGAGCATCCTCATCTCTTCAACACATAAATTAATATGATGCTTCTCTCAATGGCAAACATTATCCACCATAAAGCACTACAGGTCTCACCACTATCTTATAGAACTATACCTTGACGAATGCCCAAATTTGCAAGAGTTCCCTTCTTAAAAAGCACAACATAGGAGCATCATCTTAAGTAGCACAAAACATGTGACACAGTATCCTTGCATGAAAATTATCAGGTTGGTAGAGGTAAAGAGGAGATATTTATGTTGTGGTTGAGGAAGTCATCAAATGAATATCAAACTACCATGTACATCAACATTTCTCTTCTATCCATAGTGGGCCATGGGGTTATGGGAAAGACATCTCTCTTGCAACATGTCTATGAAGACCTAATCATAAAGGAATTTGCAACGTAAAATTTGGTAATAACCCATATGAAATTCTCAAATCTGCAATAGTTGCCCTCTTTTAATCCTAAGCTCAAAATATTGGAGATAGATAACATTGGGTCGAAAGTTTTGAACAGGCAACAGGACATTAGCAACTGTTGCAGCATTTCAAAATCTTTCCCCCTAAACATTAGAGGTCATTTCCTATCCAAAATCAGATATCTTCTTTTGGTTGATGAAATAGTAGGAATTGAAGAACTAAGAAACTTGACAATTTGAGATTGCCCCAATCCAATCTCTTTCAGAGGGCTAAAAAAAAGGAGGCCACTGAGAATTTCTAGCTTATACTCAGTGAATTAGATATTAATGATTCATCTGTGCCGTTAGTGGTGCCATTGAGCTAGGTTTTGCATCCCAATCACATGCATCCCAGAAACCTATCCCAGGCAATTTTCACAAATCGTGTTTTTATGGAGTTCATAATGGACCAAACCTTTGTTTCCTCTACTTTTTAGGCCAGCTGCATCTTATGCTTCCTGTACTCAAGCTCATCGAGCACATCATCTATGTCATCAATGTCATCTCGTAGCTTCCATAGCCATTCCTTGAGATGCCGGTTTTGTTCTCTGATATGTGCCAGGCTGGAAACAAAGGCGACAGCTTGGATCTTGAGCTGGTTCTCTTGCATCATTTCCAGCGCCTCCTCCTTCATGCATGACAACCAGAAGCCCAAAAAATACAGCGCAGTTTGAAAAAAAAGGTTATGAGACAAGGTAAAATGGGCGCAGAGCAAGCCGTCACAGAGGTAAGCCGAAGGAAGCCGAAGCGCTCTGCCTGGTTGCACACTAAAATGTGCCATCCAGAGGGAGAGCGACAAGCTTCCACAAAAAAAAAGGAACATTATTCAGACAGCTTTAAAGAAGAACAAGGGAGAAGGTCCAATCGCACAAGACAAGGAGATTGAAGCTCGTTCCCTGAGAAAAAAGATAATATCCCGAAGACTACAGAGGACTCAAGGTGAATAAATGTTTGCCAATTAGCCACGGACGACGACTTGGGGCTGTTTGGATGCAGGATTTAGGCTAGATTTAGGGCGGATTTGGGCTAAATACAGCCAAACGGCAAAAAAATGCAAAACTAGATCTCACGGTAAATCTAAGCCGCGGTTGACGGAAAATTGCCCCTTTTCGTGGTAAATCCCAGATTTACTAAATCCTTCCTTCTGTTCGGCGGATTTACCGCATTTTTGGCGCGAGGGAAAAAGAGTCCCGACCAAAGAAGCGCGTGAAAGGGGAGAAATTTCGTTACCTTCAGGAACAACGTCACATTTAGTAATTAAAGTTTTATTAAAATAATTTATAAAAAATTAATGAAATAATTAGTAAAAATAGTAATCAAATTATTAATACTTTTAAATTCTAATTAGATCATTATTATTATAATTAGCATTAAAATACTGAATTAAATAATAGCTATATAAGCCATTTGTGAAATACTTATTAAAATAATACCTTAATTATAGTATTTATATAATTTATTGGTGCTTATTAAAATTAGAATTAATAAATAAATTATATTTGAAACAGAAATACCATATGAGTTAACCATGTTAAATCCTGAATATCATTGTCAAATAGTTTTATAGGATTTGTCCATTTAACATATTTTTTACCAAATAATTTTTAGGATTTAACCATCTCAAAATTTATTAAATTCGGATTTACACTGGGTCTAGGCCCCCATTGGCTGCTTAATTACCACCTATTTAACAACTAATTAAAGTTATTTATGATAATGCAAAATTATAACTTTATGTTAAATGATTGTATACGTATTTATATTGAAAAAATATATATTTAATAGTATTGATGATGAAATAACTGAACAAAGACTTCAAAATATAAAAACTTGGAGGGAGAAACTATAACTAATATGTAAGAAGAATATCAAAAGCTAACATTCTCAATTATTTATTAATATGGTATATCTTTTTAACATATATTTTTTTTAAATGATACTTTCTTTATCATTTTTTTTTTTGGAAAGATTTCTTGCTTCCGTTATGAGAAGATATAATGGTAACAAATCCCTTACGTTAGAGTTTGGTGGTTCCTATGTTGATATTTTAGAGCTCGGGTGCAAACATTACAATTATTCTTCCTTTCTTTAGTTTGCAAACATCATTAAAATTTGAATACAAATTAGGACAAATTCATTATTAAGTATATAAGAAACTCAAATACCTTTTCTCTTGCTATAAATTTTTTTAGAATCATCATATCATCATTGCATTTCATTTTGAGCTTTTGATAGTAATTGAGGTTTACAAGTACTTTCATCCTCAACGTGTTATCTTCAACCAGAGGGGCTTTCTTGAGTATATACTGGTAATCTGGCAGACCTGATGAATTAAATAAATTACATAATTGCTTGGTTGCTCAGCTTTGAAGTTGTCATTTCATTATGATCATAATGGCATAGTTAGCTATATGGTCTACTATTGTGCATGTATTATACTGTATATAATTGTTGCGTCCTGGAGTATTCGCAGTGGTAGAGAAATATATATAGTTTAACGTCTTAGTATTGTACGAAGATCCAGCACACAAGCAGATAAGAGAGAGAGTGTAGCATTCATACAAGACACTAGAGTTTTTACGTGGAAACCCCTTAAAAGGGGGAAAAACCACGGGGACTGACCCAGTTTGAAATGAATCCACTAGTATTTGCAGTCGATTACAAATGAGGCCCTTCTTAGGGAGAAGGCCTTAGCTTGATGTTACAAATGTATGTCATATAGAGTGCATTACATGGTGGGAGTTACAATAATCAACATAAACATGTTTGTTTGGTTGGAAAAGCCATTGTAGGTGATGGAGTTCGGAAGGACCGTAGTCGGCAGGAGACAGAGGTTTGAAAGACCGTAGTTGTCAAGAGATCGGGATCAGAAAGACCGTTCTCTGGTGATGGAGGTCGGAAGGACCATAGGAGGCGACGGAGGTCGGAAGGACCGTAGTAGGCAGGAGACCGGGGTTAGAAAGGCCATTGTCTTGTAATGGAGGTCAGAAAGACCATTGTAGGTGACGAAGGTCGAAAGGACTACAGTCGGCAGGAAATAAATGTCCGAAAAGATCGTAGTTGGCAGGAGAACTAGGTCAGAAAGATTGTTGTCTGTTGATGGACGTCGGAAGGACCATAGTAGGTGATGGAGGTTGGAAGGACCGTTGTAGGTGACAGAGGTCAGAAGGACTGTAATCGGTAGGAGACAAAGGTCCGAAAGACCGTAGTTGGCAAGAGACCGGGGTCAGAAAGATCGTTGTCTGTTGATGGAGGTCGGAAAGGCCATAGTAGGTGATGGGTGTCAGAAGGACATAGTCGGCATGAGAGAAAGGTCTGAAAGATAGTAGTTGGCAGGAGATCGGGGTTATAAAGACTGTTTTCTGTTGATGAAGGTCGGAAGTACCGTAATCGGCAGGAGACCGGGGTTTGAATGACCATTGTCTGACGATGTAGGTCGGAAGGACCATAGTATGCGATGGAGGTCAGAAAGACTATTGTAGGTGACGGAGGTCGGAAGGATCGTACTCGGTAGGAGAAAAAGGTCCGAAAGTCGTAGTTGGCAGGAGACTGGGGTCAAAAAGAACGTAGTAGTAGGGCGATATTTCGGTAGAACTACTTGCATCTGGCAGTGGTTCGGCAGAAGTTCGGGCCTCATGTGGTGATCCGGCAGAAGTTCAAGCCTCATGTTGTGGTCTGGCATAAGTCCTGGCGCCACGTGGTGGTCTGGGAGAAGTCCAGTCCTCAAGTGGTGGTCCGGCAGAAATCTGAGTGTCAGGTGGTGGCCTGATGGAACACAAAGCCTCAAATGGTGGTCCGACATAAGTCCGGGTGTCAGGTGGTGGCATGGTGGAGCACATGGCCTCAAGCGGTGGTCCGGTAGAAGTCTGGGCCTCATGTGGTGGTCTGCTAGAAGTTCGGGCCTCAAATGGTCCGATGGAGCTCAGGGCCTTAAGTTCTGCTCCAACGAAACAACGACGTCAGGTGGTGGTCCGACGAAGGTGAGGGCCCCAAGTGGAGTCTACGGAGCTCTGGGCCTCAAGTGGTGATCCGGCGGAGCAACGACATTATGCGGTGGTCCGATGGAGGTGAGGACCTCAAGTGGTGGTCCGGCGGAGCAATGACGTCAGGCGGTGGCCCAGCGGAGGTGAGGGCCTCAAGCGGTGGTCCGGCGGTGGTCGAGGAGGAGCTTCTTCCTTTTCTTCCTTTTCTTCATTCTTCTCTTCTTGCTCCTGTCCCCCCTTTCAAGAGAAATGAGGAGTCTATTTATAGATTTCTGGAGTGACATGATCCGTAAATAGGTAAGAGATCAAGTGTAAATGGGGAGTAGTTGAATGGACGACCGATATTGAATCCCTTGATCATGGACCATTCGTCAGACATTTGAAGGTCTTAATGATGTCAGAATTCACTCAATTCAGCATACTTGGACTAGTTGGATTCGTCTCGTCGAGCTGCTCGATTCAACTATAATCATTTTATGTTTGGAAACCGTTTAGTAACCCAAATTGTGGTTCAAACCTTCCAACATCGCTCCGGGTCCTTGATTTTGACTCATTTAGGCTCGAATTGAGTCGAATTTGGTGTTGTTGAGTTTGTATTTTTGAGACGTTAAGTTTGACTATAAGTTCGCTGAAATCGGAGTTCGGATGGTCCCAATTATAATTTTGGAAGTTCCCAACTTGATTTTGCCTCGAGATTCGTGCCCGATCAAGATAATTTTTTGATGACGTATCAATAACTTTGTTATTAAATGCAATCTACATATTTGTACCTAAAAGCAAATGATTACTCTACTCCAGCTTTGATTGCAACATCATGAGTGGGATATCCATGACTTCAGCATTATTAGTCTTTGGCCTTGAAGCAAACATAAAACAGAGAAAAAAATATTTTAATGGTGTGATGATGACAATAATAATAACACCAAGTTTATATCTCATTATATGAGGTTGGATATATGAATATTTTTTTTCTTATTGTGTTCTATTAGGAATTGAGTAATGATGCAAGCAAATAATAATAAACTAAATGAGCTAATCTTACACTTTTGAAGGAAATATCTTGCAATTTCCAATTCTTATTGGGCTAAAAGGTAAAAAATAATTGCCCTAATTTCATGTTTTTTGTCACTTAATCAAAATTTAGGTTTCGGTTAGGACCACTTTGTAATTGCTTCCTAAAACAATTTTGTAATACAATTTTTTTTTTTTTGAAAAATAACTGTTTAAAAAGAAATAAAAAATTGTCCAAAATGAAAATAATATTGAGTTTAATTAATTGGCATAAAAATGAGCTTTAATTTGGCTCTCAATTCAACTCAACCAAAAAACCGACGAAGCTATCCATTAATCAAAAGACTATTCTACCCATCAATAATTTTCTTACTATTTTTAACCAAACTTTTATATAAAAATTATTAGTTAAAAAATATATATTTTTTTTAAATTATAACAAACGAAACTTAAATCTAGTAATATTCATCTTCTAAAACTCATGATTCTCGACCATCAATTTTTAAATTTTCATATTTTTTTAATTGTTTATACACAAATCATTAAAGCAATATTTAGATAAAATATTGATTTTTCATTCATAATCTCATTTTGTGGCGCATATAATGTAAAATTTTAGTTCTATGAACTTTGCTTACATAATTATCATATTTTATTTTAATGTTCCCATATTTTTAAATCCATAAAAACAATAAATAAATAATAATAAAAATCACTTCTCAAATTTATATTGAAAAAAAAGTCATATCAAACACATCAACATAGGCTTCAAATCAAATGAATATTATATACCTTCCATGAGCTTCAATCCCATAACGACCACTCAGTCTTTATATAGATTATTACATGTAGAGACCGGATCGACGTTGCGTCTGGATTCTGAGCGTCGAGAATAAAAACGCACTGCTTCGTACAATCACGGTATCCGAACAGTTCTCCCGTCTAGACTACGCTAGTAATAATCTCCCCTCTATGTTTCTTCATAAGACACTAATTAAACTCTTTAACTCAATACTTTCCATCTTCTTGCTGGGCAAGCTGTCGATAGCTATAAATGTCAGCCAAATCCATGTGAACAAAGGAAGCATTATTGATTTCCACTTTTTGAGTATTTCAGTAGCACCATGGTGTTGTCAAGTGTAACCATTAAATCTGGCATTTGAAAACCTGCAGATCTTTCAAATGGTTTAGAAAATAAACTAAACTAGGCTTGCATGAACTATATTGTCAGCTTTGGTGTACATATTCTTACTCTCTGGACAAAGTTTTCAAACTTTTCAAGTGTAGCAAACATCCACCTAAACTAACAATTATAAACATTTAGAGATGGACATACCAAATTATATGTTTCCTTCTTATTCACCCCACAAACAGCTGAAGCTAACTTTTATTATAAAAAAATGCACTTCATGAAATATTTTCACCTTAGATCAATGCTAAATTGAGAAAAGCTGATATAACAAAAGATCCCTATAAGATATTTGTTGTTACAGAACGCACCTTGTTTTCTCCATGTTTCTGTTCAGTTGTTCTTTGTGCTCCATAATCGACATCGTAGGAGGGGAATCATCAATATTTTAACTTTAACGGCATTGAAAGCACATTGATCTAATTCAAGATCACAAACCATAATTATCCCCAAGTACAGCAACAAATGAAAATAAACATTAACAATAAAACAAATAAGAAAACCTGATAAATTTGCCAACAAGTAGAAAATTAAACTATAAGCAGTCGTTAATTCTTAATTATTTGAAGTCTTCAGTGAAGTTTTGCTGATAGAGTTGGTTAGCTAAAAGACACTCACATTTGACTGAGAATTTAGGAATTTGACCAAAAAAAACTCACAACTATCTATCTACCGCACATACATGAACAATTCTATATCAACTATAATTCAAGTTAGGAGCTAATTAGAACATATCCCAATTACTCTTAAGCTATAGCTTTTGAATTACACAATAATGGGAAATTCCCAGACTGGGAAGCACGACTTAAATGAAAATGAGTATGTACAGATAGTTATTACTTATTATAATAAGTATATAACATGAATTTAACTAAATATCAAGTTCTTGTATAATGATTGAAAGCAATTGATAGATAATGACCCGAATCACACAACTAATAAGCTAGCTTATGAGTTGAATTACTATATATGCAAGTTGGTTACCTGTATTCAATATTTCCCTTCATCTCTGTCCTGCCTAAGTATTGCATGTAGGTCATTAATCTTGAGCACAATGTTGATGCTAGGATCATCAACATGTTTTATTTCCTCTGCCAACCACAGCTCTGGCTGAAACTTCACATTTTATATCAAGCAAATAAAACAAATGTAAAGTTCACTTCTGGTTTTTTTTTTTTTTTTCAATTCCCACACTTGTAAACCGGCATTAGATTAGAAAATTTCATTAAAGCAAGTGGTCCTACTAGGTAGGAAGATTGACATAAGGAATGTGAGCTATCTTGTGCCAATCAGAACCGACAAACTTTCGGTAGCGCTCCTTCAAGTCGGGATGGCAGTAGAGTATTGACAGAGATTTCAAGGAGGGTGGGAGGTCTGGTAATTCCTTGAGCTGAGGAATCCTATAAATGTAAAGTTTTTGGAGAGAAGAGAGGCTAGGAAGGCAAGAAGGCATGCAATCCAGGTTCTCAAGAAGTTGTAGATACAATACACACAAAGACGGAGGGAGTTCTGGCAATTTCCGAAGCTGCGGAACCATATCAATGTGAAGTTCTTGGAGAGCAGAAAGGCTAGGAAGGCAAGAAGGCAAGCAATCCAGGTTATGAAGGTGATATAGGTACAATAAACACAAAGAGGGAGGGAGTTCTGGTAATTCCCGAAGCTGAGGAACCATATTAATGTAAAGTTTTTGGAGAAATGAAAGTCTAGGAATACAAGAAGGCAGACAATCAAGGCCATGAAGATATACTAGATGCAGTTCACACAAAGAGGGAGGGAGATCTGGCAATTTTTGGACTGAAATGCATTTTAGTTCAAGATACTTGATAGAAGAGTTGGACAAAGAAGATGGTAAGCACTTCAATGATTCGATGTGGCTAAGTTCTAAATGTTCCAGAAATGCGGGGATGTTTTGTAATAGCTGCAGATGAGGAACCTCTCGCACGCATAAAATTTTAAGTGAAGAGAGGCTTGCCAATGAGGAAGGGAGATATTGCAGAGATTTCAGACTTATAAAGTTCAGCTCGCGAAGGTATGAGCTAACTTGGAGAAACCACTGCTCTGTCTCAACTGTAAATGAAACCAACTCATCATTACCCTTAATTGTTAGCTTTTGAATGGAGGTGATACTGCTCAATGGCTCCATTAGCAACACTGATGGATCCTTAATAATGAGTTCGTTGAGTATGAGCTGGGAATTCTCTGTAGTCCCCAAATATTTCAGTCCTTTGAGATAGATCAGATCACCACAATTTCGAATTGTCAAGTCTCTTATTGCTGCAAGGCTTGAAATGATGTAACAATTGCTAGTGCCTTGTAGCAAGTTGAAAGTTTTCCACCCAATGTTATCTATCTCTAATTTCGTGAGCTTAGGAGGCAAAGAGGGCAACTCTTGCAATTTTGGGCAGTCCTTCAGGTACAGTTCAATTAAGCAAGGAAACAAACGATCATCTGCTGCTGGTAATGTTGAGTCAAACCAATCCTCCAATGCTTCTAATCTCTCGATGTGTAACACCTCTAGCGAAGCAAAGACACAATCCGAGTCATCCCTCTGAAATTTATCATCAAGCCGTTTAACTTTTGGCATGTTTTCAAGGTACAAAGACTTAAGGAAGGGAAGCCGCCCAAAAGGTGGAAGAGTTTGCCATTCTAAGCAGCAATCCAATTGGATGCGCTCTAGATTGTAGATAAGATGGTCCTCGTTCATCCAAATTGCAGACCTGGCACCCATGTATGCGTTTATCCTTAATTTCCTTAGTTTGTTGTGTGGTCGAAGGTTGTCAAGTACCATCTCATCTAAGTCAGCATCTAGAATGTTTCTAATTTCACCCCATTCTAAGGACAAATCTATGAGGTTTCTCTTGTCATGCAATTTGGCACGACAAGCATCCTTGGCATCCTTCACATTTTCAAGAAGTTTGATTCTTAATTGGTGAAGCTCATTCATATGCTCCAGCTCAACAATTCTGAAGCCATTCTCATTTTTGACATAAAATCCATCTAGTTGTTGAAGAGAGTTTAACTTTCCAATTCTATGCATTCCAGAAAAATCATCCCAAGGCAATTGCATGTAATGCATATTTGTAAGGTTATTCATGTCCCTCGGTAAGAAATTGTGAGGAATAAGCTGCCCAGATTCATAGATTATGAATTGCAACTGATATAGATTGCTTAAAGATCTTGGCAGTAAAGTTTGAAAAATATTCAAGTATCGAAGATGTATAAGATGTCCAATTGCCTCAGGTATCATTTTTAGGCACGGAGCATAAATGTACAGCGATCGGATGCTTTTGGATACTTTGAAAATTTGAGCAAGTACATCATCAAGATCTTGATCATCTTCTTTATAATACAAATAAAGCGTACGCAAATTTTTAAATTTCCCAATCTTTTTTAGCACTTTTAAATTGCTAGTATCAACAGACAAGTGTCGAATCGTTTCAGGAATTGTAAAAAGCAACTCTTCATCACCAGCAACTCTAAAGCATTCTTGTGTGGAAACAAACTGTGCCAACTCATGTAGTAAATCGTGCATTTTGTAATATGTTATATGCTGAAAGTTGAAATTGAATCTTGTCAAATTCTTGACTAAAACATCAAAATACCTTCCTCCAATATCCTCCGCAGCCTCTCCTCGAATACAAGGTGGCAGAATGAAATCTGATGCAATCCACATTCGTACTAAATCATCTTTATCGAACCAATGATCTTGTGGAAATATACAACAAAATGCAAAACAATTTTGTAGATGCTTTGGGAGAAACATATAACTCAATCTTAAGATGGAAAATATGTCATTATGACCCAATTCTGCACTTAAGAAATTACTATTTAAAACTTTTGCCCAATGACTTTCATCAAAGCTAGAATTCAAAACACCACCAATGACTTTTGCTGCCAAAGGAAATCCTAAAAGCTTTTTAGCTATTTCCCCAGCAATTGATCTTAGTTTTTTATGATCACCAGGATTTTCTACATCAGCAAATGCATGGCTGTTGAGGAGCTGTAAACACTCATCCTCCTCCAAGCCCATTAATCTCAATGTTTCCTTCTTCTTTTTAATCACCTTTGCAATCATCAATGCAACTGAGTCCATCCGAGTTGTTATCAAAATTTTACTTCCCAAACTTCCAAAAGCCAAAGGGGCAAGCACATTCTCCCATTTGATTTTATCATTCTCCTCCTCATCCTCCCAAATGTCATCCAGTACAAGTAAGAACTTCTTGGACATCAACTCAAACCGAAGACTATCTTGAAGTACCTTAAGTGTCTCCAAACGAGGCCTCTCCTTTGCAAGATATTCCAACATATCAGCAATTACTTTTTTTGCATCAAAGTTGCTGGAAACACAAACCCACATTTTAAGATCAAATTCCTCAGTCATTTCATCTTCATAGGCATGTTGCAGAAGAGTGGTCTTCCCCATACCACCATGACCCACTATAGATAGAAGGGAAATATTTCGGTACAAAGTACTATGATCTTCATTTGATGGCTTCCTCAACCACTGCATGACAAACTCCTTATCCTTGCCTCGACCGATGAGATCATTTTTAGGCATCGATCCTGTTTCACGTGTTTTGTACAGCTCAAGCTGCTGCTCCTGTAGCTCCTGCTTTGTGCTTTCTAAAAGGGGAAGGAAATTGCAAACATCAGATGAAACTTTCTCAAGTTTCTGCACAACCTCCTCCAGTCTCTTCAAGTTGCGATCAATTTTGAGAGCACGTTTGCCAATTTTCTTTAAAGAGTTCAAAGTTGAACGCACCTTTAGTTGCTTCTTGTTTTTGGTCAACTGTTGTTTATGCTTCATGTAATCAAGTTCATCGAGCAAATCATCTGCCTCATCAATAGCATCTCTTAGCTTCCATATCCATTTATTGAGAGCCGGGTTTTGATCCCTGATGTGTGCTTGGCTGGAAGCAAAGACGACAGCTTGGATCTTGGGTTGGAGCTTTTGCAGCCTTTCCAGCTCCTGCTTCATGCCTGTCTGCCATCTGGCTTGATCTTTCAGGTACTCAAAGCAAGTATTGATGAGCTTCTCCATAACTGGACCAACAAACCAGTCAGCCATGGCGCTGATCTAGGTAGAGCAGAACAACTGAATAGAAGGAGAGAAGGTGGAAGAGAGAGAGAGAGAGAAAAGAAGATCAGACGACGAATGATTGATAATTTAGGATGATGGATGCGTGGTGGGCTCTGCAAGTGGGATCAATTATTCTGTGGGGAATTTGTACAGAGCTTGCATCTAAACACTAACTAAAATAGATCATGTTATCTGTGTATAATCTATATACAATTTTGTTCATAGGGCGTATTTAATATACACTATGTATATAAATGACATGATCAAATCCGGACTCCACACAGCATGATTTGAACTGTATGATTATAGATCTTTGATTGAATTGAGGAACTCAAATAATTTAGTAAGAAATTTTATTCGAATATTTCAGTTTTTTTTCTCTCATTAATCAATAATTAAGTACAAGATATAAGGCAATTACGTAATGTGGAGCTTACCTTTGCAATGAAATCAGTGTAGTTGAGTTTGTGAAAAAGTATTATTTTTATGTAATCTTCTGATAGGAAATACTTGAGTTAGCAAGTAACCCTAAGGGAAATACTTAGAATTCGCAAGCAAACCTATCACTAATTGGTGAAAACAGCGAGAATAATGCAAAATCTGGGTGAAATCAGCCCCAAAACGATGAATTGCAATAAGAGAATCAAAGCCAACAAACACTAAAACAAGATACAAGTGATCCTCAATTCGAGAGGAGGATCATCTCCCCCAAATCTCTAGACAAGGTTTTCAAGAGCCCAAGACGCCAAGAAACTTCAAGAGAAATCAAATCAAGCATATCCTAACCCTAAAACACCTAATACTATTTAACACAAACTTTCCAAATCAATTTTGCCCTCCAAAGCCCTAGCCAGCCCCTCCTTTACTAATTTGAACTCAATTAAAATAGTGGTACCCACTATTGTGGGTAGCAAGCATATAAGAGGCAGGCTTAGCCCGCCTACTGTAAACTAAAACCGGCCCTGGACGGGTCAGTTCAGAAGGAGCCGGCCTATCATATTCCTAAAAAAAGAAATAAAATCAGGTAAAATACTAGTTCAAACCAAAGATCAAGAAAATAGAAGGTTACAAAAAAAGAAAAAAAGATACCCTTGTTCGACAAATTACAGGACTTGGCAGATTTACAGGACTCGGTCGAAGAAACCCTTGTTACTTCCAATTCAACAAGAAGATCGTCTTCGTACTCTGTTTTTTTTTTTTTTTTTTTTTTTTTTTTGAACATTTAGGTTAATTAAAGAAAATTCACACATACATTACATACACGAGCTTCAAACCTAAAACTCTTAGTTCAAAAATTTTGTACTAAAAATCTTCTTTAGAAGCATTAAGAAAGCTGCCGCAAACCAAGCTCTAGATAAATCCTGCTTCATCCATCTTCAGTTGAATTAAGCAAGGAAACAAACATCCATCTTTTGTAGCTACTCCTGCCTCAAACCAATCCTCTAATGCTTCTAATTTCGTAATATGTAGCACCTCTAGCAATGCAAAGGCATGATAATTATCATTCCCATTAACAGGTGAAAGAGTTTCACACTCAAAGCAATCTGTCAATTCAATTTTCTCTATATTGAAGATCGGATTGACATTGTTCATCCATATTGCAGACCTTGCACCCATGTAACGGAATATGCTCAGATTCCTTAGACATTTTGGTGGCTTAAGGTTGTCAAGCACGTTCTCATCTAAATCGATGTTCCTCGAATGAGTGTTACTCCACCCTAAGGTTAAATCTGTGAGCCTCCTCTTGGCACATAATTTGGCCCTACAAGCCTCCTCGACATTCTTAACATTTTCAAGGCAATTGATCCCTAATTTGTAAAGATCAGTCATATTCTCCAGCTCCCCAATTCTATAACCACTCACATCTCTAAGATAAAAAAATATTCCATTCTTGAAGAGACTTTAGCTTCCCGATACCACATATCTATGAAATATAATCCTCGGGAAATTTCACATATCGCAAGTTAGAAAGGTTATTAATGCCACTCAATAAAAAATCATCAAATTTAGATTGGCTTGGCACCCCTTGGATATAATATATTATGTATTGCAAGTGATACAGATTGCTTAGAGATGTTGGCAGCATAATCAAATTATAACCATCAATGTTTAAGTATCGAAGATGTATCAAATTTCCTATCTCTTCGGGTATTATAATAAGCGCAAGCTTCTCGATGCTTTGAATATTTCAATAAGTGCATTACAAAGATCCCGATTAGAAGTTCTATAGAACAAGATAAGAGAATGCAAATATTTAAACTGCCCAATCTTTTTTATGAAGTTCGGATTTGTAGTTTCAGCAGACAAGTGTCGAAGAGTCTTAAGAATTATACAAGGCAATTTTATACTATCCTCAACTTTTAAACATTCATGTATAAAAACTGATTGCGACTTGTATCGTCCAAACTTATCAAAGAAAGATTTTTAACCAAAACATTATTTCACCATAGTCCATTCTTGACCATGAGGTTCTTGAATGAAACCCAATACTCTTTATCAAACCTATAATCTTCTTGAAATATATAACAAAATGCAAAACAAACACAGTCAATCTTAAAATGAGAAAGATGTCATCCTGACCCAATTTTGGACTTACAAAATCACTATTTAAAACTTTTGTCCAATATCTTTCATCTAAGCTAGAATTCAAACCTTTGGCTGCCAATGGAGATCCTGAAAGCTTTTAACTCTCTCTCCAACAATAACTTTTAAATTTTCATGATCATCAGGGGAGTTCTCTACATTTGCTTGGCAATGCATGAGAGTTGAGGAGCTGCAAACACTCATCTTCCTCTAGGCCCTCTAATTTAACTATTTCCTTCCTCTTTTTAATTACCTTTGCAAGCATCAGTGCAACTGAGTCTGTTCGAGTCGTTACCAGAATCTTACTACCAAAACCCCCAGAAGCTAGAGGGGCGAGCACATCCTCCCATTTGCTTTTATCCTTCTCCTCATCCTCCTCCCAAATATCATCCAGCACAAGTAAGAATTTTTTGAACATAATCTCAGTCCGAAGACAATTTTGAAGTGCATCAAGTGTGTCAAAACGAGGATTCCAACATATCTGCAATGGCTTTTTTCACATCAAATTATTTGGTTAGGTGTTTGGTTTAAGTAGGAGGCTGCAAAGTTCTCAGCTTTTCTTCCAATGCATCATTTTTTTCTTTTTTAGAACCAACTAAAATATGGCTCAGAAAACTATATTAAATGGAGTGCGATGCCCGGAATTGCCAAGAAAGCAAAAAGTACACGTACAAAAATTACAGGTAAAATAATAATTCAAACCAAAGATCAAGAAAATCAAAGGTTACAAAAAAAAGAAAAACCGAGAGCTCAGAGCAAATAGAAAGAGACCAATAATCTGCCATCTGGAAGGCAGTTAGACCCATAATGCAGGGAATCTCGGCTGCCAAGAACTCTTTGGGGCTGTTTAGTAGCAGGATTTAGAGCTAAATGCCACCAAACGCAAAAATTGAACATCTTAAAGCAAATCAAATCCTTTATTTCCTTCCTTTTGCAATAAATTTCGGATTTACTCCTATAACTCAGCAAAATTGCAGGACTTGGCAGATTTACAGGACTTGGCCAAAGAAACCTTTGTTACTTCCAATTCAACAAGATGATTGTCTTCATACGGTTCTTTTTTTTTTTTAACATTTAGGCTAATTAACACAAATTCACACATTACATAGCAAGCTTCAAACCTAAACCTCTTAGTTCAGAAAATTTTGAACTAAACAGCTTCTTCAAAAAGCATTAAGAAAGCAGCTTCAAGCAAAGCCTTAGATAAATCCTGCTAGTTGCCAAACAGGCCCTTAAGGCCTAATTCGTGGATTTAAAAAACCATAACAAAAGAGAGGCCATCCAGGAGAACCCCCAGGGCCATATCCCAAAAAAAAAAAAAAAAAAAAACAAATTCTCAGTAAGGACTCAGCCACTGATTTGAAAAAGAGAACATTTCAGATGAATGTCACACCGATTATGAGGAAAAATAGTTGTGTTGCCAGTATTGCAAAGAGGGATAAGAGACTAATGCTCTGGACGAAGTAGAAGAAATGTGATGGCCATATTTCCTGCAATTCCGTTGCTTCCATAAATAATATTAAAATAGCAAAGAGGGGTGAGAAATTTTTCCTTTCATTCTTTCCCAAAGGCCCTAGCTTATTTGATCCAACATTTGTAGAAAGAAGAAAGGCTAAGAAGGTAAGAACGCAGATAATCCATGCTCTCAAGAAATGCTTGATATGGTACAGGTTCTAAAAAAGTGCTACAACAATGTGAATATTGAAGTCCTGGCACCCATGTAAACATTTATCCTCAGTCTCTTTAGATGGTTATGAGGTTTAAAATTCTCAAGCACCTTCTCATCCAAAAGTTGAGATCTACAATTTGCTTGAAATCTTCCCAAATACAAACAGAGGCTAAAAATGCTCACCAAAATGGTGCAAAAATAAAGTTACACATGTCAAAAAGTGATCAAAAGAGAAAAACAGCCAGTTAATGCAGTGAAGGATCAGCCACAAGAAGACTGAAGAATAGGGCTTAGGTAAGATAGAGGTTGCATCCAGGTAGCCACAAACCTCCCCAGTTGCGGAATTGCCATCCAATAAAAGCCGAATAAAAACCGTCGTCCTGGGGGGATAAGGAATGCAACCCATTCAAAAGGAACTTGCCAAAAAAATATTTATTGACCAAACCATTAAAATAAATTATTCAAATATCCTTCAGTCTCATCTCCATTCCAGGGCAACTGAATGAAATCTGATGCAATCCATATTCAGACCAAATCATCTTTATGAAACTTATGATCTTGTCCGAATGGGCTACAAAATGCAAAAGAAAAAAAAAATGTAAATACTTTGTGAGTAATATATAACACAATCATAATATAGCAATATGGCATTCTGACCCAGTTCTTCACATCCAAAATCTTTGTTTAAAACTTTTATAAAATGCTTTTCATCAAAAGCTTAAATTCAAAACTGCACCGATGACCTTTACTGTCAATAGAGATCCATAAATCTTCTTTAACTCACTCCAGTTTTGGATTTCTATGATAAGTAATTTAAAGTAAAATAAATCCCCATTGAGGCCCCCTTTCTCCTTGCCTGCAGCCCACTGAGTTAAAAAAATCTTACTTTCCAAACATCTATAGGCCAAAGGGACGAGCACATTTTCCTATTTGATTTTGTCATACCTGCAAATGTAATCCAGGATAAGAAATTATTGGATATAACCTCAGTCATACAACTCCCTTGATGTGCATCAAAGTGATTCCAAAACAGGCCTATTTTTTAAAGAGATTCCAACATAACTGTAATGATATTTTTCCCATCAAGTTTTTGGAAAAACAAATCTACATTTTAAGATCAAATTCCTGTCATTTCATCTTCATAGACATGATGCAAGAGAGTTGTTTTCCTCATACCGTGAAGGCCCAACATAGCAAGAAGAGAAATGTTGCTGACCATAATAGTTCTGATAATGAGTATGATGTTCATTTGACGGCTCTCTGTTGGGGATGAGGAGTGAACACCACAATAGAGAAACAAGCAAGAAAGTAAAAGCAGCCAAAGACATGCAATTGAGATTAACCAAATAATTCAATCCAAATTCAAGACAAAAACAGATGCTAGGTACTCATAACATAACAAATAATTCAACCCAACGCTTAACGACCAGAGGTTCACCTTGATGACCTTCACTCATGCACTCTCTGGGGTTTAGCGGCGGAAGGCGAGTCCAATGAAGAAGGATATTACCACTAGAAATATGGCGCCGAAGGTCTTTGTTGATGGAGAAGTAGCCACGGACAAAGTAGTGGGACAACGAGAAGCCAAGGCGTCTTGGGTTTTTCGAGATCAATGGTCTCCGCTAAGCAGTAGAGGATGCACTTGACGTATTTTTCCACAGCCTCTTCGTATTCACAATCAGGATCGAAGAAGGGGTAGAGAAGGATGTTGATCTCCTCACGATCGTTGTAGGCGAATCCGTGATCAACTTCAGGATCGGCCATGCATCATGAGCATGAGGAGTAGGGAACACAAGGAAGAAGAATGAGAGAAATGGCGGTGGGGAGAGAGGCCGGCGGCTTGAGTAGGAGGTAGAGGGGCCGGCGGCTTGAAGGGGTGGAGAAGGGGCTAGGGTTTGAAAGAACTTAGGCTAAATTAGGATGGAGGTGTTCTAATCCAAAATCTGAAAATAATTTCAGATTTTGAGTAAAAGTCGAGAGAATTAATTTGAATTTTGATTTCAAATTCATTGCAATTAAGGGCCTTGAAAGAGCATTAATGGGGAGGGGCTCAAGCAAGGGGCCAGCGTCATGGAGAGGGAGGGAGAGAGGTTTTGTGGGGGAAATTTAAATCAACTGCCCAATTGGCCTTTTCAATTTAGGAGAAGAAAAATTCCATCCAAATTAATTTTGAAATTAAATTTGAATGTGAATCAAAACTTTCCTAAAATAACTTTCTAATTTAGGAAACTAATTTGAAATTCAATTTCAAATGATTAGAATACCTTCCTAAATCATTTAAGCTCTTTAGGAAATTATTAAGGAGACATTAAATCCTCATTCATGAAAGAAGACAAGGATGGCCGGCGGTGGATTTGGGCTTCGGTGGGGACGGGTGGAGCCAGTGGGAGAAAAGGGGCCGGTTGGTGGAGGTAGGTTGATGGTGGGCTTGGGGAGGCGGGGTTATGTGGTGAGCTTGGTGGTGGGCATGGCCGATGGTGGAAGTTATGGAGGTCAGCGGGTGGAGATGAGAAAAAATGAGTTGACAAAGAAGATTAATTGCACTTGCTCACCTTGAGCTCTCCCCCTTCTCTCCAGTGCTCACACAAGAAGAAGTAGACACAAAGGAAATTATATTAATCATTCATCAAATAAATTACAACATATGAAACCACTCTATATAGGTCTCCACTCATGAAAAGAAAAGTACAAAACTGCCCTCTGGGCTACAATAACATGATAGTTCCCCAAAGGGGTAAAAATGGAAAAACGGTCAAACTAAACAACATATCATGAAAGATGAGTCAAAAGTAGAGGCGTTGAATCGTGACTGTAGATCTGCGATTCCTTCGTCGATAAAAATGTCTGTAGTGCCTGTCTATGTCCTCATCAAAAAGTTATCTTCACAGCAAGCGAGCTCCAGTCGTCGCTTCCGATCAAAATGTTGTAACTTCCAATCCAACAGGAAGGAACCATCGTTGAAGGAGTGAATTCGAATAGCAATGAAGGAGCCGAAGAAGTGACTCATGCAATCTCTACACCTGCGAAGCAACGAAGCCGAACAACAACAACCAAAAAGCAAATGCTAGACGCCTCTAACTTATTATTGATCATAATTAATAGTATAATTAGTGCATAAGCTTATTATCTAATTTGTCTTAATTAAGTAGTTAGTAATATAATTTAGCAAGAAATTTTATTCAAATATTTCAGTTTTTCTCTCATTAATCAATAATTAAGTAGATCAAAACATTATGTTAGATTTTTCATTTCAACTCAGCCATTTACATCAATTCAATTAAAAAATCATTAGCCACATGTTATGATAAAAATAACAGAATGCCTGAATTTGAAACATGAAACAATATTGAAAAAAAAAAAAAAAAACTTAGCCTACTGCATCGTTCTCTCGGTTCAAAAACGATCCCTGAAGTAGGAGGCTGCAAGAAAGTTCTCAGCCTTTCTTCCGATGCATCATTTTTTTTTCTTTTTTTGGAGCTAAAATCATGGCTCCGAAAACTATATTAAATAAATGAAGGGAATTGCCACTTGACAGGCAGCCAAAAGGCAAACAGAACACGTCCAAAAGCAAAAATTTTACAGGTAAAATAATAATTCAAACCAAATATCAAGAAAATGAAAGGTTACAAAAAAAGAATAACAGATAAACCGCGAGCTCAGAGCAAATAGAAAGAGACCAATAATCTGCCATCAGAGGAAGGCAGTTAGACCCATAGTGCAGGGAATCTCGATTGCCAAGAACACTTGGGGGCTGTTTGGTAGCAGGATTTAAGAAGTTGGGCAGGATTTAGAGCTAAATGCCACCAAACGCAAAAGTTGAACATGTTAAAGCAAATTAAATCCTTTATTTCCTTTTGCAATAAATTTTGGATTTACTAAATCCTATAGTTCAGCAAATTTGCAGGACTTGGCAGATTTACAGGACTTGGCCAAAAAAACAGTTGCTACTTCCAATTCAACATGATGATTGTGATTGTACTGTTTTTTTTTTTTTATTTAACATTTAGGCTAATTAAAACAAATTCACCCATACATTACATACACGAGCTTCAAACCTAAAACCTCTTAGTTCAAAATTTTTTAAACTAAAAAGCTTCTTTAGAAAGCATTAAGAAAGCAGCTTCAAGCAAAGCCTTAGTTAAATCCTGCTAGTTGCCGGACAGCCCCTTAAGGCCTAATTCGGGTATGTAAAAAACCATAACAAAAGAGAGGCCATCAAGGAGAACCCCTAGGGCCATATGACTCATCACAGCCCTCTTTAAAAAAAAAAAAAACAACAAACAAAACAAATTTCTCAATAAGGACACAGCCACTGATCTGAAAAAGAGAACATTTCAGATGAACGTTCGTACTGATTATGAGGAAAAATAGAAGTTGTGTTGCCAGCATTGTAAAAAGGTATAAGAGACTCATGCTTTGGACGAAGTAGAAGAAATGTGATGGCCATATTTCCTGCAATTCCGTTTCTTCAATAAATAATACACATATAGCATAAAGGGATGAGAAAATTTTCCTTTCATTTTTTTCCCAGAGGCTCGACTTATTTGATCCAAAACTTGAGTAAATGTAACCCATATGACCGTGAAGTTTATAGAAAGAAGAAAGTTTAAGAAGGTAAGAACGCAGATAATCCCTGTTCTCAAGAAATGCTAAATATAGTACAGGTTCTCACTTAAAAAGTGCTATAAGAAAGCACATATTGGAGACCTGGCACACATGTAAACATTTATCCTGAATTCCTTTAGGTTGTTATGTTGTTTAAAATTCTCAAGGACCTCATTCAAAAGTCGAGATATACAATTTGCTTGAAATCTTTCCAAATCCAAATGATGTAACAATTGCTAGTGCCTTGTAGCAAGTTGAAAGTTTTCCAACCAACGTTATCTCCCTCTAATTTCCTGAGCTTAGGAGGCAAAGAGGGCTATTCTTGCAATTTTGGGCAGTCCATCATATACAGTTCAATTGAGGAAGGAAACAAATGATCATCTGCTGCTGCTAATGTTGAGTCAAACCAATCCTCCAATGCTTCTAATCTCTCAATGTGTAACACCTCTAGCAAAGCAAAGACACAATCCGAGTCATCCCTCTAAAATTTATTATCAAGCCGTTTAACTTTTGGCATGTTTTCAAGGTACAAAGACTAAAGGAAGGGAAGCCACCCAAAAGGTGGAAGAGTTTGCCACTCTAAGCAGCAATCCAATTGGGTTGTCAAGTACCTTTTCATCTAAGTCAGCATCTAGAATGTTTCTAATGTCACCCCATTCTAAGGACAAATCTATAAGGTTTCTCTTGTCATATAATTTGGCATGACAAGCCTCCTTGGCATCCTTCACATTTTCAAGAAGTTTGATTCTTAATCAGCGAAGCTCATTCATAAGCTCCAGCTCTACAATTCTAAAGCCATTCACATTTTTGACATTTTCTCTCTCTCCCCCCTTCTATTGCATCTCTCTCTCTCTCTCTCTCTGATATTCAACTCTCTCTCTCTATTGCCTCTAAAAATCATCCCAGGGAAATTGCATGTAATGCATATTTGTAAGGTTATTCATGTCCCTCGGTAAGAAATTGTGAGGAATAAGCTGTCCAGATTCATAGATTATGAATTGCAAATGATATAGCTTGCTTAAAGATCTTGGCAGTAAAGTTTGAAAAATATTCAAGTATCGAAGATGTATCAGATATCCAATTGCCTCAAGTATCATTTTTAGGCACAAGGCATAAATGTACAACAAATGGATGCTTTTCAATACTTTGAAAATTTGAGCAAGTACATCATCAAAATCTTGATCATGTTCTTTATAATAAAAATAAAGTGTACCCAAATTTTTTAAACTTCCCAAACTTTTTTAGCACTTTTAAATTGCTAGCATTAACAGACAAGTGTTGAATTCTTTCAGAAATTGTAAAATGCAACTCTTTGATAGGAAACACTTGTAGATCTCAAGTATTTCCTATCAATTATCGGAAAACAACGAGAATTCTCCACAAAAATCCACGAAATAAGTAGATAATTTGTATTATTTGATGAAATAGAAACGAAAATAGCAAGATATAGTTGATTCTCAATTCGAGAAGAAGATCTCTCTCTCTCAAACTCTCTAGAAGCAGCTAGAGCCAAAAGGAAACCTAAACCTAAGAGATCTCAAATTCCAAGCAAATTCAAGATGCCATAACCTTAGGAAAACAAACTATTTAATGCACACAAATCAAAAGGAAATCCCTAAACAATCCCTACATTCAAATTTCCCTCACAAATCTTTCCAAAAAAGTTCCGTTGGATTTGGCAGCCCAATCGGCCTATGCAACAGGCCAAGAGTTCCGCTTATTCTCCGCCTGAGCCGGCCCAGTGTGGACCGGTCTAACACTTTCTTCTTCACCAACAACTCTAAAGCATTCTTGTGCAGAAAAAAACTGTGACAACTCATGTAGTAAATCATGCATTTTGTAATAAGTTATATGTTGAAATTGAATCTTGTCAAAGAAAGATTTCTTGACTAAAACATCAAAATACCTTCCTCCAATATCCTCCGCAACCTCTCCTCAAATACAAGGTGGCAAAATGAAACCTGATGCAATCCACATTTGTACTAAATCATCTTTATCGAACCAATGGTCTTGTGAAAATATGCAACAAAATGCAAAACAATTTTGTAGATGCTTTGGGAGGAACATATAGCTCATCTTAAGATGAGAAATATGTCATTTTGACCCAATTCTGCACTTAAAAATTTACTATTTAAAAGTTTTGCCCAATAACTTGCATCAAAGCTAGAATTCAAAACACCACCGATGACTTTTGCTGTCAATGGAGATCCTAAAAGCTCTTTAGCTATTTCTCCAGTAATTGACCTTAGTTTTTTATGATAACCAGGATTTTCTACATTAGCAAATGCAACGCTGTTGAGAAGCTGCAAACACTCATCCTCCTCCAAGCCCTTTAATCTCAATGTTTCCTTCTTCTTTTTAATCACCTTTGCAACAATGCAACTGAGTCCATCCTCGTTGTTATCAAATTTTACTTTCCAAACTTCCAAAATCCAAAGGGGCAAGCACATTGCCCCATTTGATTTTATCATTCTCCTCATCCTCCCAAATGTCATCCAGCACAAGCAAGAACTTCTTGAGGTGAGCTGTTTGGTAACAGGATTTATGCAGGATTTAGCCAAACGGGATTTGAGCGCCCTGTAAATCTTACAACTGAATAAATCCTCCTTTTTGCCGTAAATCCTGTATTTACTCAATCCTCTAGTTCAGCATTTACTAAATCCTCTAGTTCAGCGGATTCATAGAATTTGGCCGAAGAAGCATGCGAAAGGAAGAAAGTTACCTTCACAGCCCGTGAGATTCCGATCAAAATGTCAAAACTTCCAATCAGATAGGAAGGGAAAGTTGTCGAAGGAGCGAAGTCGAACAGCAACTAAGTAGACTCGTACACCTCCTGCGAAGCAACAAAGCCGAACAACAACGCCAAAAAGCAAATGCTAGACGCCTCAAACTTATTATTGATTAACATAATTAAAGCTATAATTAGTGCATAAATTAATTATCTAATTTGCCTTAATTTAGTTAGTAATATAATTTAGTAAGAAATTTTATTCGAATATTTCAGTTTTTTTTTTTCTCTCATTAATCGTGGAGACCCCTAGGGCCATATGACTCATCATAGCCCTATCAAAAAAAAAAAAAAATAATAATAATAATAATAATAATAATAAAAATAAAAATAAAAATAAAAACCTAAAAAAACAACAAACAAAACAAAATTCTCAATAAAAAGACATCACAGATCTGAAAAAGAGAACATTTGAGATGAACTTCGAACTGATTATGAGGAAATATAGGATTTTAGCCTCCTCCCTCCCTCTTATACACCAATGTTACCCCATTCTAAGGACAAATTCATGAAGTTCCTCTTATCAGATTGCGGGCTCCGAAAATTCGGCCTCGGCCTCCCCCGCAACTTTTTCAGGGAGTTCTCACATATTAGGTTCCGAGATAAATTTTGGAAAGACGGATTGATTTCGCCCACATCTTGAGGAGACTTTATGATCTGAGTTCTGGTTTCCTATAGACGCAATCCCCTATAGCTAATTACCGCTCCCGATAGGGGGTGAGAAGTTTCGATTAAGGCTAGTCATTGGTGAATACATCATATCCGTAGATACGTGATATCTGGCATATAGTAGCAGCATTGATTTAAATGTTTGGTTTAAGTAGGAGGCTGCAAAGTTCTTAGCTTTTCTTCCGATGCATCATTTTTTTCCTTTTTGGAACCAACTAAAAATCATGGCTCAGAAAACTATATTAAATTGAGTGCGATACCCATAATTACCAAGAAAGCAAAAAGAACTAATCCAAAAACACCCTATAGCAAATTACCCCTCCCGATAGGGGGTGAGAACTTTCGATTAAGGCTATTCATTGGTGAATACATCATATCCGTCGATACGTGATATCCGGCAGATAGTAGCAGCATTGATTTAAATGTTTGGTTTAAGTAGGAGGCTGCAAAGTTCTCAGCTTTTCTTCCAATGCATCATTATTTTTCCTTTTTGGAACCAACTAAAAATCATGGCTCAGAAAACTATATTAAATGGAGTGCGATACCCGGAATTACCAAGAAAGCAAAAAGAACACGTCCAAAAACACAAATAAGTAGTGAGATATGTAACTCAAACCAAAGGAAGAAAAAAAGATAAACCGAGAGCTCAGAACAAATAGAAAGAGACCAATAATCTGCCATCAGAAGAAAGCAGCTAGACCCATAGTGCAGGGATTCTCGGTTGCCAAGAACACTAGAAGGCTGTTTGGTAGCAGGATTTTGAGCTAAATGCCACCAAACGTAAAAATTGAACATCTTAAAGCAAATTAAATCCTCTATTTCCTTTTGCAATAAATTTCAGATTTACTAAATCCTATAGTACGGCAAATTTGCAAGACTTGGCAGATTTACAGGACTTGGCCAAAGAAACCGATGTTACTTCCAATTCAACAAGATGATTGTCATTGCACTATTGTTTTTTTTTTTTTTTAACATTTAGGCAAATTAAGGCAAATTCACATATACATTGCACACAAAAGCTTCAAACCTAAAACCTCTTAGTTCAAATATTTTTGTACTAAAAAACTTCTTTAGAAAGCGTTAAGAAAGCCGCCCCAAACGAAGACTAAGTTAAATCCTGCTTGTTGCCAAACAGCCCCCTAAGACCTAATTTGTGTATGTAAAAAACCATAACAAAAGAGAGGCTATCCAGGAGAACCCCTAGGGCCATATGACTCATCATAGCCCTCTCTTAAAAAAATTTAAATAAAAAAAAACAACAACAAACAAAACGAATTTCTGGAGGAAGCCAACGACCTGAAAAAGAGAGCATTTCAGATGAACATCATACCGATTATGAGGAAAAATAGAAGTTGTGTTGCCAGTATTGTAAAGAGGGATAAGAGACTCGTACCAATTTTCTTTCATCCATATGAGAATGCATCCTGCTTAAGACGAAGTAGAAGAGATGTGATGGCCATATTTCCTGCCATTCCGTTCCTTCCATAAATAATATACATATAGCATAAAGGGGAGAGAAAATTTTCCTTTCATTCTTTCCCAAAGGCTCGACTTATATGATCCAAAACCTGAGTAAATGTAACCCATATGATCGAAAAGTTAGTAGAAAGAAGAAAGGTTAAGGTAAGAATGCAGACAATCCATGTTTTCAAGAAATGCTAGATATAGTACAGGTTCTCAAAAAGTGCTACAAAAAGGCACATATTGAAGACCTGGCACCCATGTAAACATTTATCCTCAGTTTCTTTAGATGGTTATAAAATTCTCAAGCACCTTCTCATCCAAAAGTCGAGATCTACAATTTGCTTGAAATCTTCCCAAATCCAAACGCTGAAAATTAATGTTAGTTTCATTTTCAAATGAGTTAGAGCAGTGGTTTCTGCAAGTTAACCCATCTTTTTTAGGAGAAATTATTAGGTGCGGAATTCGGACATAGCTCGCATCTGGGCTCCAATAAAATGAAGCCACATAATTTGTACACACAAGGTGTGTATAAGTAGAATTTACACACCCTACATAAATCTAGAAAATTAGAGCTTGAAGAAGTCAAATCATTGCAGTGCCTTCCATATTCTTTGTGCTTCAGTTCCATCAAGTTCTTAATAAGAGCATTCCGCTCCAAAAACAACTAAAATTTTCCAAAAAACATGGAATTTTAGCCTCCTCCCTCTTATACATTATGTTACCCCATTCTATGGACAAATTCATAAAGTTCCTCTTATCAGATTTTCCAAGTTCTTAATTGACAAAGCTAACTCAATTTATATAAAAAATCATGCATCTTCTATTATAATTCATATTCAATATGGAACTTATCAAAAAAAGATTTATTGACAAAAACATTAAAAAAAAAATTCCAATATCATTCAGCCTTGCCTCCATTCCAGGGCAATTGAATGACACCCGAGTCGACTGAAGGATTATTGGACGAAGCAACCCATGGCTGCCAACAAGGATCCTTCAGTCGGGTTGGGTCGACTACCTCCTCTAACTAAGTAGACCAAGGATCATGATTGCCTGAGACGAAAGAACCATGGAATTTTGATCGGGACAATCATCCATTCCCCCACATTATCCGCTTCAAGTGCAAGGTGGTAAATTTCTGATTTTAAATATCAAACCTTTTCAAACACCCAACCCATGCTGCTTCTATATGCCAATATAACATGCATCTCTATGTATCTGATTTACAGCTAGACTTAATTGAAAGTTCTCTCTCTTTACCAAAGGGGTAATTAACTAAAAGGGCTTGCGCCTATAGGAAATTAGAACTCAAATCAAAAAGTCCTCGCAAAACGATGGAGAAATCTCTAGATAGTGTCTCACCTACAAACCCAATCTGCCTTCTCAAAATTTACCACGGAACTTAAACCGTTAACTCTCCCAAAAAGTAAACTCCCCCAAAAAGCAACGAGGGGCCCCTGTCCTCCAAATGAAAAAAGATGAACCGAGAGCTCAAAGCAAATAGAAAGAAACCAATAATCTGCCATCAGAGGAAGTCAGTTAGACCCATAGTGCTGGGAATCTCGGTTGCTCTTGGGAGTTGTTTGGTAGCAGGATTTTAGGAGTTGAGCAGGATTTAGAGCTAAATGTCACCAAACGCGCAAAAAATTGATCATCTTAAAGCAAATTAAAGCCTCCGTTTCCTTCCTTTTGCAATAAATTCGGGATTTACTAAATCTTATAGCTCCGCAAATTTACAGGACTTGGCAGATTTACAGAGCTTGGTTGAAGAAACCATTCTTACTTCCAATTCAACAAGATGATTGTCACCATATTGTTTTTTTTTCTTTTTTGAACATTTAGATATTACATACATGAGCTTCAAACCTAAAACCTCTTAGTTCAGAAATTTTTGAACTAAAAAGTTTCCTTTAGAAAGGATTAAGAAAGCCACTCCAAATGAAGCCGTAGGCTGCCAAACAGCCCCTTAAGGCCTAATTCGTGTATGTATAAAAACACAACAGAA